ACAGGGGAGCTGGATGCCTCACAGAGGTGATCCACAACCATACCTCGTGCGAGGTGATGGCTCCCAGCCTCCCTTCGGTGGAGTGGCGATAGGGGAGCTGGATGCCCCACAGAGGTGATCCACAACCATGCCTCGTGCGAGGCGATGGCTCCCAGCTTCACCTTCGGTGGAGTGGCGGTAGGGGAGCTTAACACCCCACAGAGGCTTCACATTGGTATTACTTCCGAACTCTATACTCTGTATCGTGTGCCGATCGTGTTCGCATGATTTGTAACGATAAGGGTAATGACCTTTAGGAATAAAACAAATGTTGCAGATAAAAAATGGTGAAGCGTAATGGTTATGGTAAAAAGGACATAGTTGTTGTGGACGCAATGAAATTCTTTTCAGTTGTACAGCGAATAAAGTACGTCATCAATTAAGCATGCAAGATCATAATCAATTGCGATAATTTCAGGGAAGGACGCGTCAGCTTCGACAAGAAAGAGATTCTCGAGCTCATAAATAACCCAAAAGCTCGGACACAGAGCCAGTACTGCTGAGTTGGAAGCTCGACTCGCGAAGCTGGGAAAGATGGACCGCCCGTCGACATCAAAAGAAAAGGTAGAGGACTCCTCAGACGAGGAGCCTTCACCGAAGAAGAAGAAGTAATTCGTCGGTGATGCATTGTCGTTGTTGAGTTAATAAATGGTTAGTATTAACTGTTGTCTCTAGTGTATAATAACGCTTCGGTGGCACCGGTCTGGGCACCCGAGCGCTTATTATAACTACTAGAACAACAGTTAATACCCCCTGGCCGGGGGTTTGTTCCTGGTCGGGCCTTATTTTTTTCCAAAAAGAAAAATTGTTTCTTTTTTGACGTCCCGAAGCGCACCACCATGATAGAGTGGTAACTTAGAGACAGCAATCAACAGACGATCTGCACCGACACTTGCCGCACAGCGGTCCTATATAGAGACTGCTGTATAAAGGCAAGGTAAGACCTGTAGAGGACGAAGGATGCCTCTATATAGGCAATGACACATAGGCCCTGTAGAGATAGGGGATTTCTCTACAGGGCCTTTTCTGTAAGCCATTTTAGCAATTACAGATAACACAGCTATGTGTGAAAGCCTAGTTCCGATAGGTGTTTAATCTCAGAACTCTCGAAACATAGCTGGCGCTGACTGTAATGCTAGTTTGCCAAACAGCCTGTAGAGGACGGAAGATACCTCTATATAGGCAATGACACGAAGCTCTTGTAGAAAGGTGATTACTCTACGAGACAGTAAGTCATTTTAGCAGCTCAGGTAAAACTGCTGTGCAATGAAGGCCCAGTTCTGATAGGCGCCTAGTCCCAGAACTCTCGAAACACAGCAGTCGATGTCTGCAATGCTAGTTTGCCGAATAGCGGTCCTACATAGAGACTGCTGTATAAAGGCAAAACAAGATAAGACCTGTAGAGGACGAAAGATACCTCTATACAGGCAAAAAGCCGAACAGCGGTCCGAGACAGAGATCGCTGTGTAAAGGCAAATGGGCCTAGCTACTGAGCCATGAACACCAAGCTTCAGTAAGTTTGTCTACTGAACTCTCGATGCTCAATAGCAAGATGCTCTTCGCAGATAGAGCCACTGAGTGATGAACATCTGGCCTTAGTAACCTAGAGTTACATTGCCAACGAAGCTCAGTAAGTGCACATCTGCGATAACAAATAAAGCAACTCCGCCACTGTGAATGTGACAGGTTGCCGTAAGTCCTCGCAAAGCATTTTCACATGCGATGAGGCAGTCATGGGAACCGTTGGGATCGGCTGGTTCGGCCCCAACACGTCACGGACACAGTACAGGAGGGCTGGGCGAAATCCAATGTAGCGTAGTTAACGTGGTACTCGAGATACTAGGGTATACTCCGCGGTTTGCTGGTTAGACCGTCTGGAGGTCTGCGCGGTGGCATTGGATGTAAACCTAGCTGCTATTGAAAAAAGACCCAATGGGCAGGTTATACTACATGGTCGGATGAGCTGTAATCGCGCCAGCTCAGATCCTTGTCCTAATGAGATGAGGCGGCCAATGAAGATAACCGGAACTCCGCCATTTGCCGGTCCCAAGCCCGGATGCAAAAGGAGGAGGGTTTGGATTGGGGCTAGCGACCCCTCTCCTGTAAAAAACCCAATTGCTACGAAACAGTCAAATAAGAGAATAAATGGCCCTGCTCAGGGGGCCCCGGAAAATCCCCCCGGAAGCCCCCTTTACCCGGGATCTCTTAAGGTCCCTTTTCAATTTTTCTTTTTATTCCTTTTCTACAAATCAGTCCAGAAACGACTCCGCTAGACTGAACGGGACTCGCTCCCAAAGTCGCGAAGAGTCGTTTGCACGAAATAGTTTACCCTGGACTGTACACGAGCAAGACAAATTGGTTTCCCTGGTCGAAAGACACAGGATGGCCACGGGGCGCGTGCAATGGGTCGAACTCGAGAAATCGTGGGAAGCCCTTAGAAAGCACGACGACCCCATCAGAACGAGAGGTGCTTTGAAAGCAACCTATAACAGACTCGTCAAAGCAAACAGACGGGCATTAAGCGGAATCCCCAGACTGAGGCTCAAAGCACTCGGCTGAGTGAGGAAACATCCGCAGTAGCTGGGCCGGAGACCAGCTGTCGAAATGAAGGCGCTGCTATGCCGGGAATAAGAAGTCCTGGCAGCTGCTTGGAAACAAGCAGTGCGAATTCAGAACAGCGGCAGTCGCCTCAGAGAGCTACCACAAGCACTACCTCTAGTAGAAGGGGTGCTTATTGGAGCGACAGCGAAGTGAACAAGCTGGTCCAGTTGGTCCAGCTGCACAAAACTGAAAAAGGGCGAGTACGGTGGGATGACCTGAGCTCTGCTTGGGAAAGCTCACGCAGTACGAACGACCCGCCAAGAAGTAAGGAGGCCCTTAGGGGCACTTACGCAAGGCTCGTCAAAAGACGGGGACGAGCCACGCCAATAGAGCTGGGAGACGCGGCTGAATTACTAACTTCAAGTCATTCTGGCAGCCTGTTTTCGAACAGGACTGAGGTGACTTTCGAAACTCAGCCAAATGGAGGACCTGAAAACATGGTCCCTAGTGAAGCGTCGCCCGAAGCATCTATTGATCTAAGTACTAGGTTTGCTGTAGATGCGGTGGATCAAGTAACATCGAGTCTTGGTAACTACTCAGTTCTGAGTAGCATTGTAGAGGCTCCCGATACTCCACCGGATGAGAGTTCCCTAAGTGAGATCTCTCTCCATGCATCCAGACGCCAAACATCAAGTCATGATGATTGCCTGCTGTCTAGCGGCATTGAAATGACTTCCGAGATTCAGCAAAGCGAGGGATCACAAAGGATGACCCTCAGAAAACGTCGCCGATAGTGCCAACTGAGTATTGTGCTAGGTTTGCTGTAGATGAGGTGGAACAAGTGACACCAAGCCTCGGTGATTACTCTGTTCAGAGTAGTACAGTAGAGGCTCTTGTTTCACCGGATGAGAGTTCCGTAGATGAGACCTCTCATCTTACATCCAGACAAACCACTAGCTTATCCGCTGAGACTGCGACACTAGTTGTACAGACTGGCGCGGCAGAATCTTTAACACCGAGTCATGATGATAGCCTGCCCTCGAGTGGCATAGAAATGACTTCCGAGATTCTGCCAAATGAAGAGCCGGAAAGTGCGGTTCTCATTCGTCGTCCATAGAAACAACTGAAACTGGCACTAGGTTTGCAGTAGATGAGGTGCAACAAGCAATATCAAGCCGACGACTACTCGGATTTGAGTAGCATAGCACAATCTCCTGAATGTTCCACCGGTTCAGAGTCGCATGAATGAGGTCTCTGACCTAACATCCGGACAAACCTTTAGTACACCCATTGTTGAGGATCAAGGTAGAGCTATAACATCTAGGGGCGGGTAGTCTTCTATTGAATGACGCTGCCCTTACTACCGAAGCTCAACCGCGTAGGAGTGCTAGATTACTCCGATCCTCGACGCGAACCAGGCGCTCACCTGAAAGGCCCTCTGAGCCTGAAGCTCAGAACCGCAGAAGAGAGCGCCGCAAGGGTGTACTGTGGAGTGCCGACGAATTAACAAAGCTCGCAGAACTGGTCGAGAGACACAGAATAGCGAGCGGTCGCATAATGTGGGCTGACGTGGTTACGGCCTGGGAAAGCTCACGAACAAGCGGAGACCCAGAAAGAACAGAAGCAGCCCTTAAAGCTGCTTACGCGAACCTTGCCAGGCGTACTGAGCGAGGAACGGTGAGAAATGCCCCACCAGCAGAAAATACGCTGGAGGAGGAAATCAACCCGCTACTACAGAAACTGACCTGGCTAACCAGGACAGTCAGCAGGGTGGAGTGGAGCCTGTCGAGCATATCGATGAACGGTCAACTAGTCCTAATGGTGACTCGGAAACGAGCCAACCTGATAGGACTCTCGGCGATAAGCTCAGAGAGCGATTCGATGCCTACTACAAGGCAGCCAAAGAGTCGCATGACAGGCAACCAATAAGAAGGCCCAAAGGAGAAATACCTGAGGGCATGCTCCAGCTCGCAAATGAAATCCTTTCAGAGAAGCTGGGGCACACTAACTCCACCAATAAGCGCACACTGACAGCTTTGAACGCTGCAGTGTATGCCATCGCCAAAGCCATCACAACGATCCTGTTGGACGGCGAGGCTGAAAAGGCGGGTAAAACTCACCAGAAACTGAGAGAGGCGAAAGCACTGAGAGACACCCTCGTGAGTGTCGTCTCGACGCTATCGCACGAACTCAGGAGAAGAAGTGGAAATGCTCCGGGACCTCCTAGTGAACAGTACCGGGTCATTTCCCGAATACAAAGAGTCAATACAACCGTGGACATTCAGCGACTCCGGATAAGATTCAAGGATCAGCTGAAGGTTGTAAACTCTGAAATCAAAACAATAGAGCAAGCCCTAAGACGCCAGCGAGAAAGACAGCGGGGATACCCTGCTGTAGCTAGGGAACCACGCGAAGGGGAAGCTGATGTACCGGTTGCGGAAGTGCGCGAGCACTGGAAATCTATCATTGGAGAATCGCAACCTTTCCATCCGTCAGACGACCTTCAAGCGTGGTCTCGCTCGGTGCAAAGAGGCGAAAATAGAGCCGCTGTAGACCTGTCCGAGGAAACTTGGGCGAAGATATTCGCTAAGATAAAACCTTGGAAAGCAACAGGACCCAGACGGCATACAGGGCTTCAATACATGCTACAAAGTCCTGACCTGCCATGGTAGCGCAACAGATACTCCTGAGCGCTGGTGATGTGCTCCCTCCGGAGCAGGTAGCCTTGCGCAAAGGAATCTGGGGCTGCACCCATGCGCACATTTTGGATCAGACTATCTGTAAAGACGCCTTAAGGCGCAAAAACGTACTACACACCTTATGGGTAGATATGACCTAAAGCCTTCGACTCCGTGTCTCATGGCGCTATTAAAGACACATGGTACGCTCAAACACATTAAGGGTTTATGAGACTCACATGGTACGCTCAAACACATTGAGGGTGTATGAGACTATCAGCCCCCAGCTGTCGATGTGTCGTGGTCCCCCCCGCCCAAAACTGCACGGGGTCAGAGTACGGGGCCGTGGGAAAGTCGTAATTCCTTGCTACACCGCCCATTTCGCAAACTCACGTTTATGCTAACACCGTCCGCGCGGCGCGGTCGCGTGCAGCTCTCTTGGCTTTTTGCCAAGTCCTGTAATTGCGCTTTGGAATACAAGTAAACGCAATTTCTTTATGCGGATAACATTTTAGGTGCTGCAAAATAAGAACCGAAGATGATGACGAGGGCTAGAACTCAAGAGCAACTGTGCTGCTTCTGCAACATCCCTCAGAGGCCGCGCATTCCCACAGAACATGACAATAAAAACGGACAACATGACAATAAAACATGACAATACAAGCAAAACGCAATTTCCTAACATTTGAGGTATTGCTCATGCTTCAAAGTCCGAATAGGTGATGAAGATGACAAAGGCTAGAAATGAAGAACAACGAATGTAGATGTAAATAAAACAAAATTGAAAAAAACTAAGGAAACGCAAATTAATTAAAATCGCGTGTGCATTTCTGCGATCCGGCTCGAATCCGGCTCCAAAGCCATAGAAATACTTCAAACTAACGAGTGGGACGCTTAGGCCGTTTTTATTTTCATGTTTGTGGGAATGCGCGGCCTCTGAGGGATATTGCAGAAGCAGCACAGTTGCTCTTGAGTTCTGGCCCTCGTCATCATCTTCGGTTCTTATTTTGCAGCACCTAAAATGTTATCCGCATAAAGGAATTGCGTTTTACTTGTATTCCAAAGCGCAATTACAGGACTTGGCAAAAAGCCAAGAGAGCTGCACGCGACCGCGCCGCGCGGACGGTGTTAGCATAAACGTGAGGGCGGTGTAGCAAGGAATTACGACTTTCCCACGGCCCCGTACTCTGACCCCGTGCAGTTTTGGGCGGGGGGACCACGACACATCGACAGCTGGGGGGCTGATAGTCTCATACACCCTCAATGTGTTTGAGCGTACCATGTGTCTTTAAGTGGATCTTGGCAAGAGCCGGAGTGGCCTCCCCTACAAGGAGGCTGCTCTCGGTTATCATGTCCAAGCAAAGCGTCAGGTATTGCGGACGTCAAAATGGCAAAATGGTCAAGAGTGAACCGTTAGGGGTCAGAAGAGGAGTGATGCAAGGGGATACCCTCAGCCCGCTCCTCTGTATGGCAATAGCTCCTATATCGGCGTGGCTACGTAACAACGTTAGCCCGTGTGGGACTTCTACTGGAGCTCTGACTTTGCCAGAAGGACCTCCAGAGGTCAACCATCTCTTCTTCTTCACGGGAGAGTTAGGACTTCGAATGAATCCCAGCAAGTGTGCTGTGAATTCACTGAACCACCCCCCCCCGCCACTGGTCACAACACCTGGGATGGATGAGATACCTGTCCTAGGTTCAAGTTCGCTCTACAAGTATTTAGGAGCAGAACAAGAACGCTCTTGTAAGTGTGGATCAACTGTGGTCTCGTACTAGAGAAAAAGCGTTGGCCGCAGCCCGAAGGATTATGCTCAGCGACCTTGCGGTTCGCCAAAAGGTCAATGGGTATAACCAAGTGGTGATCCCAAAACTAAAATATGCAATCTCGTGCATAATTTATGGAACAGGAAAGTTCTGCACAATGAGAAAGCAAGCAAGAGCGTTTGATGAGTCGGTCCGTAAGCTGTTAGCAGAATCGCATTTGCGATTCGGCCACAGCTGCTACCAAGACTCTACGTTAACAAAGAAGAAGGAGGATTGGGACTGAAGTCCGCAGAGGAGGAGATGGAGCACACCATTGTTTATACATGGTGTTATCTCGCCTCTCGACCAGAATTCCACATCCCCTATCATCTTTGTGAAAGCCTAAGAGGCAGCAACAAACGATCACTCACCTTCCGACTTTAGAGCCGTGATGGCTGAAAACAGGTTGGAGGATGAAGTGACTCGCATTGCTCAAGCTTCTATTCAAGTGAAAGATCGAACATTCGCAGCGGCTACTGAAGCCGCAAGAGCAATATCTACCCTCGTTCACGAACGGTGGGCGCGAACGCGAATGCATGAATGGAAGCAAAGAGTGGTAGCGAGCAGTAACAGACGGACGGAGACGGATGAGCAACCATACGTCTGTCACAAGGATTCGTTCTTGTGGTCACAGACCGGATGGGTGTCCTCTGAAGTCTTACGAAACGTTTGGGCTGCCCAAGAGGCTTCTCTGCCGACAAGAGCCATCGGGACAATCGTGGGTGAATAGTAACCAGATGTGCCGAATGCGTTGCAATGCAAAGGAAACGGCAGAACATATAGTGTCAGCATGTAACCACTGGCGAACCAATATCATGGTCGAACGACATGATGAAGTAGCCAGGGTAATCTACCACTCGTTGAAAAAGAAGTATGGTCTAGGTTCCAGAGTGACTAACACCCACGTTCCACATCTAGTGGACGGGAGATCAAGTGGTGTTGCACTGGAACGACCGCATCGTAACGAGGGAGAACTTGCGACACGACAGGTCTGACATAGTAGTCAAGGACCTGAAGGATAAAGTGATTTGGATCATTGAGATTCGGTCTCATGGTTCACAAGGATCACTCGTCAAGAGCTCAAAAAGATCCGCAAATATGGAATGAATAGCTGCCTTCCGGAAGGAACGGAACCAGAGGATTTCTTCCCTGGTCCGAACCTAAAGGCGGCACTCCAAGCACAACACGGCATGAGGGTAGAAGTCGTACCTATCGTGATAGGGGCTTGTGGCGAATGCTCACCCCAATCTACGAGAGTACGTCCGATTGCTTAAGCTGCCTGATGGCACTAAGACAATCATAGAGAAGATGCAAAGGTGTGCTGTGCTTGGAACAAATAGAATCATCAAGTGCCACATGTCCAATGACGACATATAGGCCATGAAGCGAGCATGCTGCAGTACAAGGGGAGGACTTTGTCAGCCCCTGTAACGTCTACCCTCACAGGGACAAGTGCTCACTTTCCATTCATGCGCGAAGAGTTGCCATAATGGCACAATAAACTAAAAGGGTCGGATCTATGGTTAATTGCGACCATAGAGTAGTCCAGGTTACCTCTGATAAGTGGTGGCCATATGGAATCGGCCCAGTGGGCAGAGGTCGCGGAGGGCAATCATTAAAACCTGACGTACATGAATGGATTTACGAGATTCCCACTGTCCCTAACTACTGTCTCGGTGAAACCACAGTCAAGGGAATGGAGCTGGAAAAAAGCAAGGAAAGAATACAATGTTGATCTTGACTCTATCTCTACGTCATATGGTTCGATAATCACATACGTGAACAAATCACCTCGGCGCTCGAATTCTGTCAGTTCTGTTGGAAAACTGGCAGATGCAGCAGAGGAAAACAGAGGTGCCGGTACTTTATGTTGACCCTCATCGGGAGCTTCAAAGGAGCCGCCTTCGAGGTCTGATGATGAGAGCAATAATACAGCCCGTTTCCCAATGCCAGGGGAAGGATGAGAGCAAAATTGGGAACAGCAATTCGTGGTTTGCAGGAAATGGAGAGCCACCGCAGCGCTGATCTTGGCGAATGTTGCGGATAGAGAGATCGATGCCGCGACCTACAGCAGTTGATCTACCATTCGATGAAGAGTTTTCGGTGTTCCCAACGTTCACAAATGAATAAAATGGGTATCGTTATGTGCAGATTTGCATGGGATACATTGGGCTAGCCTATGTTAGCTGTAAATGGTTCCCCCATCTTAACTTGTTGGATAGTGCTAACACTGTCTACATATGTTTGTCGGTGCGCCATGCACGTCGACGTCGTCTCTCGAAATCTCTCGAAATCGCTTTCTTGAGTCTCTCTTGTTTGTGAGCTGTATCAAACATGTTTGTCGATCGCAGTCGTCATTTTGGCGTGCCAAGATGCAACTGCCGCCATTAATAAGCATGGTTACAGATATGGCTCCGGCAGAGGACAGAAAGAAATTGGTATTCTGAAAGAAGTTTTTCAATGTGGTTCATATAAAGTGAGTGGGCTGCAGAGCAGCTGGAACTCCGATACTTTACTAATCCTTTAATTTCAGCAACGGTCGTGTGTCCTTCAATCGTGACGACTTGGCCACGCTTGCTGGAATTGGATCATCTTCGAACGAGGATGGGATGGAAACTTTTCGATGAAGAGTTTTCGGTGTTCCCAACGTTCACAAATGAATAAAATGGGTATCGTTATGTGCAGATTTGATTTTGCCAATATTGAAAATGTTGGAGCTTTGCGAAAATGTAAGAGTGTAATAGCATAGGCTATAGGACCTATGCGTGCCTAAGGGTGGCATAATACCCTTTGAAGTGATTGATTCTGTCTGCGCTATATGCTCAGTTTAATGATTAAGCCATGCATGTCGGAAGCATGTGCGAGAGTAAGCGGTTCTCAGCGTCGGTCTTACCGGAGGACATCATCGGCCACTCTGTGGTCGCCGGGGACATGTAGCTGATGCTGATTACTGGTACTGACTTACCGGCTAGGGTGCGGCCACTTTGTGACCGCCGGGGCAAGCAGTCAGTACATTTCAGACTGAGTACTACTGAAAGTGTTGGAGGCTTGGATGAAGCAGCCGCGGTAATTGCCGTTCCTCCAACCAAGCTGAAACTTAAGGAAATTGACGGGGAGGCATACAGGTGCCTGGTCGAATGCAAACGACCGATAGGCTTCTACTCATCCTACCAAGATGAGCCGAACGCGTCTCTGCCTCCTGTACACACCGCCCGTCGATGTTGGCTCAACCGAGGCTAGATGTGAAGGGACCGCGTCTCCTTCGGGTAGATGCGGCCTGGAACGGATAGGCAGCGGTTTCAAGTTAGCAGGCTAAAATTCAACAATGGTGGTTATGGGTTTGCATTGCTGTAAAGCGTGCTTACCCGGTACCTGGTCTTCAGGAAACCTTAATGATCACGCTTCGACGCCATTTAAAAGAAACACATGTTGTTATGCTATTGTTTGAAAGTTCTAGGACATGGTAGCTAGGGGTGTGCATGACCTCCTCGGAGGAAGTGTACGCTCGAGACCTGGTTCCCAGGAAGCTTGATGATCCAGCTAGGACGCCATTGTCGCCCCCAACAGCTCTTCACTTGAGGTGGTTGTGGTAGAGTGGGCCTTCTTCCGGAGGGCCGTTACTCCCGCCCTGGAAACGGGGAACCTCAATGATCCGGCCTGGACGCCATTGGTGAATGAGCTTTGGGTCATATCAAAGTACGCTTGCATGTCGACCTCGTGCGAGGTGCCGGCTCCCAGCTTCACCTTCGGTGGAGTGGCGATAGGGGAGCTGGATGCCCCACAGAGGTGATTCACAACCATACCTCGTGCGAGGTGCTGGCTCCTAGCTTCACCCTCGGTGGAGTGGCGATAGAGGAGCTTGACGCTCCACAGAGGCTTCCTCAGTGGCATTGTCTCCTATGCAGTTGCTCCTTGTCGTGTATCGATCGTGTTCGCATGATTCGTTACGACGAGAGCGATGGCAATAGGCATAAAACCACTGTTGCAGATAATGGTGCAGAAGCGCAACGGCAATAAGGGCATAGTGGTGGTCGACGCTGCACGTTTCTTCAACGTTGTCAGAGTCAAGTGGTCCCAAAAAGACAAGCAGCGTAATAACTAGTAATGATGCTTCCAGGGATGGACGCGTCTAGTTCCCAAAAGGTGAAGTTACTGGATCTCATTAACAAACCCCGAGATCCGAAGGACACCCAGATCGACTCGAGGAGCGACTTGCGAAATTGGAGAAGCAGCGGCCAAATGCGGTAGAAATGGCTTCATCATCGGATGACAAAGCTAAGCCGACCCCAAGAAAGCAAAAGAAGCATTCAAGTAGTTGAATGTGATACTGACTATTGTTAAAATGCGTTGATAATGTGTTGATAATGTGTTGATAGAGGATTGTTTTTGAGACTGTGTCCTTGAAAACATGCGCTAGGGTGCGGTGGCTTAGACGGAGGGTTCCTCTAGTTGGGCCTTATTTTTTCGAAAAGAAAAATTATTTTTTCTTTGCTGCGCTCCGATGCGCATAATGCTGGAGTGGTGAGCAAGAGACTACAGTCAAAAGAATCCTGCACACACTTGCCGAAGCGGCGGTCCTACATTGACACTGCTGTATAGAGGCAATAACAAGGTAAGACCTAAAGAGGAGGGATTCTTCTACAAAGGCAACTACACAAAGGCCCTGTAGAGACGAAGGAGTGCTCTACAGGGCCTACTTTGTAAGTCATTTTAGCAAGTTGCAGATAACACTGCTGAAACGTGAATGTCTAGCTCGTAGACTTTCAGTCTCAGAACTTACGAAACACAGTAGTCAATGTCTGTAAAGCTAGTTTGCCGAGCAGCTGTTCTACATGGAGACTGCTGTACAAAGGCAATAACAAGGTAAGACCTGGTAAGAGGACGAAGTATTCTTCTAAGGCAACTACACATAGGCCCTGTAGAGACGAAGTAGTGTTCTATAGAGCCTATCTTGTAAGTCACTTTAGCAATTGCAGATGCACTGCTGAGATGTGAATGTCTAGCTCCGACAGACCTTTCGTCTCGGAACTCTCGAAAACAGCAGTCGATATTTGCAATGCTGTGAGGATGGGATGGAAACTTTTCGATGAAGAGTTTTCGGTGTTCCCAAACGTTCACAAATGAATAAAATGGGTATCGTTATGTGCAGATTTGATTTTGCCAATATTGGCTAGGGTGTATGCTATATACACATGTTTGCCAGTCCGCCACGTCGACGTCGTCCCTTCGAAATTCCTCGAAATCGCTTCGTTGAATTTCTCTTGTCTGTGAGCCGTATCGAACTTGTTATTGTAATCGCAATCGTCACTTTGGCGTGCCAAGTGCAGTTGCCGACATCAATAATAGTTACAGGTATGGCCCCGGAGAATAGAAAGAAGCTGATATTCCGTGGTGCCAAAAAATTCTTCAAGTAGTACACATTGAGTGAGCGGCAACTGAAACTCGATCAATATTACATTATGTTGTTATATATTCTATTTTCAGCAACGGGCGAGTGTCGTTTAATCGAGAGGAGTTTGCTGCAATTGCTGGAAGCAGAGAATCGTCGTATGGTGACGATGCAATACAGGAGCTAAAGGACCGGTTGGACAAACTCGAAAAGGAGAAACTTAGCGTTCCCAAAGAAGCGCGTAAAGTGAAAGGCCCTGCGAAGAAAAAAAGACCTGTGAACCTGAAAGAAGACCTGTAAACCTGAAAAGATGGACGTCCTTAAAGAGGAGGCCGTTGTAT